CCCACCCACACCGCCGGCGTTGATGATCCCGATCGCCGGGGCGCAACGACACCCTCACAGCCACGTACAAAACAAAGTCACTCGCGCGTATCACAGATGCGTCAACTCGGTGTCATATATCACCGATGTTATCCGACCGTCGCTTCGGGGGAACGCGAGCAAAGTTCCTCTGTAGAAATTCCATTTTGCGACACATTTCGGCTACAAGAGTATCACGTGCCTGTGTTGTTGGTCGAGCATTCTAGAACGGGAGAGGGAGAGAGAAAAAGAAAGAGAGAGGCAAGCAAGCTGGCGAGCGAACAAGCAAGCGAGAGAGAAGGTCCGAGCATTGTCCCCCGGGGGGCGAGTCTCCTGACTTCTGCCAGAGAGAGTGCCATATCCTGAGTGCCTTTATCGTTCTACGTATACGTTCTGCCGGTGCAGACGGGAAATTCCGGCCGAGTTCGTTGTCATGCGACGAGACAAATAGGCAGAGACGAGCGTGGGGTAGATACGAGCCGCGCGGTCGCCGCGGGAACACTGCTAAATGCCGTCTGCGAAGTCAATGGTGAGCCGTGATAGGGCTTACCGATATGTGCAGATAGTTCTCGATAGGTGGGTCGGCTACCTCGCGAGACGCGTTGCGATTTACGAGACTCCACCAGCGGCTGCTCGCTCGCGTCCGTACAGAATGCAAAACCGCGCCGGTCAGTCTGGAAAGATGAATTATCGCGTCGCGACGTTTGTTATCGATAACAGCACCGATAGTACTATCAGCGCTGAATACGAATGTAGCTTTTGCACTTCCGTCGCGAGTAAAGTCGTCGCTGTATTCACCGGTGCTTGCATTTGTTAGATCAGCTGATAAGACGTCGTCACACGCGCTGCGCTCAGCATAAAATCGAAAGTAGTTTACGAGATGACGGTTTTATGCAACATAAACTGGAGACGTCGATACCGCCGGTGTCCCGGCTGGTTTGATGCGTAACTATAATCCTCGAGGGACTCGGATAATTTTCTTCTAGTCTCATATAAAATCGCACGAGGAATTTTCCCGGCGTCGAAGTCCCTCACAACGTAGCTGACTATGATATCTCATGCGCAAAGTCGATTATTATTTTACCTCCGTTCCGATCTCGCCAAATCGCCCTAACTTAGTATCTAATATTCATACCCGTATAGAGGAGAAACGCCGAGAGATAACACGGATTCGGGTTTGTGCTTCGGCGAGAAAGCGATCGTATGGTTAATTAGCGGCAAGCAACGTGTGAGATTTCTCGTCGCGATTTCTCCCGAGTCGAAATTTTAGTCCTACTTTGGACTCGAACTTTCTAACATGTGCATTCTGAAGGATCAATGTACGTGCGATACACGTGGAAACTGAGATCCTACTTAGTGCCTCTAAATGGCAGAAAACGCACCAAATATCACTTGTATAATAGGTCCTAAAGAGG